GAAGTGCATTTCTCTAGGTTTCCAAAACCACCTTATTCAACCTTCCCCATCTGTCACCATCTGCTTCTTTTTAGCATGTACTTTTTGTGTGATCACATAAGCATGTGAAAAATAACTAACATTCAGATGATTATCTGCTGGTACATTTGAGGACTGGGCATAATAAAAGTGAATTGCCAAAACGCACTTAACACTTTTAATTTTGTTGGGTCTTGCATGTAAGCTACATTTGATTTTCAAACTGTTTTACAGTTGGAAAGTTGATCAGGTACTGCTAACTCAAGAGCAAAGCTGAGACTCTAAATAATTAGCACTGCATAAAACGGTTTGGATTCAATAGGAGCCAAATCAAATAATAAAATTTAACAGTAAGAGTTTATATGTGATTTCTAATTTCTTTTATAATTTCTAGGTGTGAAAATACAGTACATATTACAAAACCAAAATCTCCTCAAGATATCTTACAGTTCATAATTTACTCCAAGTTTATTTCTTTCTAATGTAAGAAAGAGCAAAACCACACTCATTTAAAACTCTACATACAAATGCATTTTTAGAGTTGTAGCACACTAAATGCAGTTTATATGCCTTCTAGGACTGTATCTTTGTAATGTCTTAAAAAAAAATCTGATTGTGTTCTTTAACAATAAATATTCTCAAATGCTTCCCAGGTTGGAAAATTAGACTGTAGCCCCATTCTTCATCAAAGCGGTAAGAGAATGAATACTTTTTAAAATATCCTTTTGTCAAAGAATAGCATACTTATACTATAAAACTTATCTTTCCTGATTGTCTTTGCCACAGAAACAAACTAAGTTCATTGAAATCTTAAGTGTATTTAAAAACCTGCTATGAGTCTGACATATAGGACATTTAATAAACGGGCCTTGAATTGATTTCTAACATTCTTTTTAAAGTATCTTTGAAATATTCGTCATCTATCTTTGAACAGAAAACCACTTCTACCAGATTACAACATTTAAAAAGGAATACCACTGCTGAATGAAGTACAGGTTGCAACAAGATCTCTATATAATTTGTAAACCAGTCTACAAGAAAAAGAGAAGGGAAAATATCGACAGTCATTCACAAGAGAAGTAGTAGCCAAGAATGTATTACAGATCTAATATGCAACTACTACTTACATTATTATAAAGAAAAGACTAGCATTAATAATGGTATGTACTGGAAATTCTAAGGTTCAAAAAGAGTGAGAGACACTGCCTGAAATAACAGAAGCTGGTTTCGGCTTGTGCTAATCCCTTCCTAACACTGACCATGTAAAGCTGATCACATTATCACTTGCTCTCAATTCACAGGTGACTTTCCCCTACCAGGAATCAGACCTAAACTCCTTTGCATTCCAGCCTCTACCCATGTGTCCTGTTCCTCTTCCCCCTGCGGGGCCCTCCCTGCAGGCTCCAGCACTTCTCCTCCCACGCCACTGCATGTAACTCCAGCAATGTGGTTATTTTCTTGTACAATAATTATTTTCCATCTCTTATCACTTTAGTAAACAGCAAGCTGTTTGAGGATAAAAACCATTTCTTACTATCTTTGTATTCCCAGCACCTAATAAAATGCCTAATACCTAATAAAATATTCATTAAATATTTCTTTAATGAATAAATGAGTGTTCTTCAGTGAAATGGTCCACAGTGGAGATCAGAAAAAAGAAATTAAATTCTCAATTTTTAAAATAAGGGTGAACACATTCAAAGCTACAAATATGCGGCATATGACACAAACGTTTAAAATATAAGAATTAAAATTTCATGAGAAGTTAGTTGTTTTGAGATATGTCACACTCAAATAGTAACTACAATAAAGCATCCTCCCCTATAAAAATAAGATGTCAAGATTTTAATTACGAATCATCACGCATCAAATATAGATGGGTATATAAACTACTTTTAAAGACTAGATTTTTGAAATATTAAAAAAGGTATCCAGAAATGTTTTCTTGTCTTTAAAAAGAAATTGATACTTTCTTGTGAACTGTAAGCTTTTTATTTAGAAACAAATAAAACTCTTCTTGCATTAATCTTGGTTTTGTTCTTCAGTTGATGACATCTGCATAGAAAACAGTATCTTTGTTTCTTAGGAGATCATCTGCTTCTGAAATGAGATGTATTTATCTTCTTCAGAAATAATTTCCCCTAATTGTGACTCAACTAATTTTGTTATTCTAAATACAAGATATCGTCTTCCATGGCAAATGTATAGCAGGGGTAATTGAACTCCAGAGAAACAAAGAATTTGTTTTCCATGACATTCACAAAAACAATCCTATTCTAGAAAATATGATTTTTATTTGAATAAACAAGAAACAGTGTTTCTAAAATTTTATCAAATTCAATCACAAAAATAGAGAATTTTAAACTCCAGATTTTGTAACAAAAAATGATATTTTTGGCAAGAAAATAATCCTTGGAAATTTACTGTATTTTAAATGTTAGCACTTATTTACAATAACTCAACACTTTTAAAATGTAAATTGAATCCCTAGTTGTAAAGAACTATTATAACAATAAACCAGCATGAGTTACTATATGTATAAGGAATGCTAGTATCATTGTGAATTTATTCTACTTCCTAATTTCCTTTGATTATCTTTTCCTGTTGAGCATTTACAAAACATCCATTTAAAAAATTATAATCATTTACATCTACAAGTGGTTGTAAAACTGTGACTTTTGGGAGCCATGATATATGTAGTAAAAAAGCAAAAGTGGGCTTTGTAGGCAGATAACCTAGTCAGAATCCTGATTATACCTTTACCACCTCCTAGCTATGTATAGATTACATTAATAAATCCTAGCTCTATGTCCCCTCACCTTTTTAAAAAAACCAGGTTTGCTATCTATTACCAAAGATTATTCCAAATAGTAAATAAAGTAATAGATACAATGCACTTATATAGCATGTGGCACATAGTAGATGATCATTAAATAGTAATCCTCACCCATCAAAGATTAATGCCTCCCTATTTGGCTCCAGCCACACTAACCTTATTACAGTTTGAGGGAAAAACTGAGCTTATTCTTGCCTCAGGGTTTTCAGACTAGCTGTTCTCTGAGTTTGGAAAGCTCTTTCCCTACATTTTCAATAGCTACCCATTTCTTATCATTCAGATCTTTGGACAAACATCACTTTCCCTGAATATCCTATCTGGAGAAGATGTTATTTTCCAAAGATGGCTGTAGTACTATCTCCCATCGCAGATGCTCTTCAATAACAGAGAGATGGGGTAGTGCCCCTTAAATCTGTGCAAGCTCACAACTGCTTCAAGGAATAAGCATATGACAATAATGATGTCATGTGACTTCAGGAGATGCATACACAAATGTTCACAGCAGCATTATTCATAATAGCCCCAAAATGGATGCAACCCAAATGTCCATCAGGTGCTGAATGAATAAACAAAATGTGGTCCATCCATACAATGGATTATCATCCAGCCATAAAAAGGAATGAAGTAGCAATAACATGCTAAAACATGAATGGACACTGAAAGTATTGTGTTAAGTGAAACAAGCCAGTCACAGAGACTCCATATTGTATGATTTGATTTGTATGAAAATGTCCCGAATAGGTAAATCTATAGAGACAGAAAGCAGATTAGTAGTTGCCTGGGAGGAAGGGAAATGGTGAGCTAATGGGTATGGGGTTTCTTGTTGGGGTGATGAAAATATTTTGGAATTTTCAAAATAGCTGTAATGATTGTACAATTCTGTGAACACACTAAAAACCACTGAATTGTACACTTTAAAAGGGTGAATTTTATGATATATGAATTGTATTCCAATTATAAAAAATATACTATGAAAATAAATTTTTAAAAAATTAATAAACTTTTGATGGTTTACCAGGTGGGAAAAAAATAAAAAAAGCAATGCAACTTCTAACTTGTTCCCTAAGCCTGACTACTCAGAAGTTGTCATTATGAGGAAGCTGAGGCCACATGGAGAAGCCAAATATCAGAGCTCCTGCCAACGGCCCTAATAAGGGACCAGTGGACAGCCAGCAGAACTGTCAGACATATGTGAAGATGCTCCCAGATGACTCCAGCCTCCAGCCATAGAATCACCCTCTCACTGTAAAGTCTCTCTGGCTGAGGCCTCACACACAGTGTGGCATAAATTAACCATCCCTGTTATCCCCATCTGCATTCCTGGTTCAGAAATCCACAAGCATACCAAATGGTTGTTTTTCACCACTAAGTTACACATCAAGAGTAACTGGAACGCTATATACAACAGCCACACCACACTCTTCCCTTTACCTTGCTTTTTTTTTCTTCATGTAATTTAACATAAGACATTGTTATTTATTTTTATTCTTTCTCCCTCCCCTAGAAGCAAATTCCCCAAGAATAGGATCCTTTTCTGTCTTGTTCCTACAACTGTATCACCCAGAAAATATCCAATATATAGTAGATACACAATAAATATTAATATTTATTGAATAAGCAAATTAATAAATTATTGTAGAACCCTCAGCACAAAGAGGTCACCAGTCTGAAGCTTCCTTTGACATAAATTCTAAAATGTAGCTATTGTCAACAACTTTCTCAATAATTTTCTTTAATTAAGTATAAAAACCCACAATACTGTAACTCCAATAATCAGTTTCTTTGTTTCTAAAAAAAGTCCAAGATGGTTTATAAAAATGTAAATATTCTTGAAGTCAATTATTCTATTTGAATTAAATCAATCAAAACTGATATAAGAAATAAAATGTATACGGCCAAGAAATAAAAATTGATTTAATCTGCTTTAGTTAGCACCTTTGCAATTACAAAGTTTATAAAATTTAATTTCTGTATATTCTCAACTTCACAATACCACATTAAAGTAAGTGAGAGCAAAATAAATTTGGTTCAGGTTGAAATACAGGTAAAAGTAGTAGGTATTGCAATGATTTTTAATGCTTAAATGATTTACTTTGTAAAACATTCTGTCAATGTTATTTTTCCTATGAACAGAACTGAAGCCTACCTCTGGTGCAAGATATTCCGGTGTACCACAGAATGTCTTCATGGTGGCTGCATCTGTGATCCCTTCTTTGCAAAGTCCAAAATCTGTAATTTTTATGTGGCCATCTTTATCCAGCATCAAATTCTCCAACTGTGTATTAAGAAAAAATGACATCATTTGTTATATAGTCTCCAACAATAGGAAAATACTGTTTTGAAAAATTATTGATTGCTGGGTAAGGCATTTTGGAAAGAAGACAGAGTTGTAGTTAACAGAATTTTCAATACTTACAAACCCTGTAGCTTCATGTGTAAAAAGAAACATGTTTTATAAAATACTTCATGATTATAAAATTTTTGATTTTTAAACCAATGGCAAAGAGTGCTATAGCTTTAAGAGCCATTATTGTGTAAGTTCTGAGAATTAAAGCCTAATTAAATTTTCAAAGCAATTCATCAATCCTCTTTTAAAAAAAAAAATAAAACAAAATGTGATCTAAACAATCCCAAAGAGATGAGCATCTTCTTCTAGATATATACAGATGGTTTTCAACAAGTTCTCTTGGGAATCTATTGCTATTATAAAATATTCACTTACAGAAATGTTTTTTGGTGGTGGTTGTAAATCAAACCTAAATCTTATTTTGTAAGGTAAGGCGATATCCTCTTTTGCAGTTCTTTGTAATAAAGAAATACCAACCCTTTTAAACATAAAAAGAAAAAGAATATCAAAGTCAAACATTCAACAGTTAATAAAAATATATAGCACAAATGTTATAAAGTTGGAATCTCTTTGAACCCATTAATTAAAAAACACCAAAGAGAAACTTAGACTTTTAACACGATCATCTGTCTCAAGTGAAAATTATGAAATGTAAGGAGGGGAGGAGTTCGTACAAAGCCAACACAATTAAAAATAGCAACAATATAACTGACCAATCCCTCCCCCCCATTCTGAATCCAAGGTTATGATTTTCATCACACAAAGAGACATATGAGTTCTGAATTGTGAACATACAGCCTTATATAGTTGGGGCCCATAATCACCCAGTAATGTAGATACAACCTAAAGGTACCTCTCTTGTCACATAGGAGAAATACACAAGACATGAAAAATGTATTAGCAGGATGAATGATAACAAACTTTTAGTTAAGGAGCAAATACTTATTCTACTCCTTAATGAGATGACATTTGTCAGGGTTTACCTGGACTCTGAAGTTAATATCAAATTTCAAACAGAACTCCACATAAGAACATAAACAGAGACTAGCCATATAAAATGTAATGACATCAAACCCTCTGCCCTATTATCAAATGTCTTATAAACAAGACACTTAATAGAGTTAAGCAAGTTGTGTTCACTGAAGCAAAGATCAGAACAGACATAAGTTCCTGTTACGGTACTTCAATGCGCTATGCAACTGAACTAAACGTTCAACACACATTTCACGTACAGTATACTTCACAGATGTAAGTCTGTCTTCAACTTGTCTACAGAAAGCTGAATGATCCATAAATACATTGAACCTTTTTAAAATAGAAGTTTTAATTTTATCTGAATTCAGATATCTTGCATCTTCCTAATGCTTCTCTACAATCCAGAACCTAGAAATCAAGCCTAATTTGCAAATGATAGTAAGTACCGAATATTGAAACCAATCAGGAACATCAAGAAAAAGTCTGTCTCTCTATATCTCTTTTTTCTTATTATCTCTTTATCTACATGCCTCTAGTAGTTTCTCTCTTTTCCATTTCTTTCAAAAAAACCTCTTCTTCCTCCCTCTTCTAACTTGCCATAATGAGAAAAAGAAGTATGTATCAAAAACATCAGGATATCGCATCCCTCATTCACTCAACACTAACATCATATGAGTAGTATTTAGTCACACATTTTTAGGAATCCATCTACTGTGTAAAGGAGGAAGAAAATTATTTACAAATGATCTTTCTTTGGTTTTCTCTTCTAAATCACTTTTCTTCTTCCCTTTCTTAGCCACAAAATGCGAAATGCCTACTGTCACTGACGGTTCAGGAACCGTATGTTTATAAAACTTTACATGCATCTGTTTTATCTTCACAGTCAGTTCTAGTCTCCAAGACGGAGACAGGCACAGCAGGCTTATGCGTAATAGCCGCATCCACTGGCAAAAGCAGTGATGAAGTGGAATGGGAGGTTGTAAGAAGATAGATTATATATTAAAACTCTGGGTAATGTTTACTATTTGTGTCAATTAGAATGGTTGTTATCTAAAAGTTCATGCTTTTTGAGGAGAGAAAAAGAGTATTAGACATAACAGCTCACAGAATTTCCACAAAGAAGGGCAACATTTTTTGCCCAGCTGAAGTGGACAGGCATTATTATCATTATTATGATTATTATGATTATTCTTAAGCTTCCTCGCTCCTCAGAGAGTAAGGACAGGTGTTATTTGACAGAGGGTCTTGATACAGTGTGTATATGAAGAGATGGCAGACTCTGAAATCCTTTTCCCTCTGTGCTTTGTGGACACAAAATCATTAACAAGAAAGTACTGTATTCCTTCCTGCTCTTGTTGGTACCTAGAGTAAAATTAAACTCTAAAAATCCTAGCTGTCTTTTTCTTCAATTCATTACTTCCCAACCTTTTACATTTATTGTAAAATAAAATAAATGAAATTTGTAGGGTATGCCAGGATCAGTGGCCAGGCGTCTTGAGGCCAGCATTCACCAGTCTGGAGGCTCCTCTGACCACTCCACAGGCGGAGGGAGGCCATGGCTTAGCCATGCCTGTGACCCATTTGCAGGACCCAGGCTGAGGAACTCTGCTCTGATATAGGCCAGGCTACCGATCAGAAACTTTAAAAACATTGTGGATACATGTACGGGATCATTTTAATTAAATGATTGACACTGTGATCAAACAAAGGAATGAAGAGAGCAGTTCCCAAGGCTCTGATGACTATTGTAACAATAGCAATAAACAATTCCTGTTGCCCTCTTAAACCCTATGTTAGCACAGACACATCAAACTCAGTTTCAGGCACTGAGACTGTCTCAGGCTCAAGAAGGTAGTACGGAATTTCTACTCTGCACGTTGCAGATTTAGGTTTATGGGCGTCCAAATGCCAAAATGTCCCAACCTGACCTGTGGAGACTGCATGACCATGGGATTAAGAGAGTGTGCTGAATACTGAGAGGAAAACATGTTTTCACTTTCGACTCTCCTAATCTAGAGAAAGGATTCATAATGTACAATAGTGGAGATCTCAACTAGGTTGCAAGGCTATTTAAGAATTTATTACAAATAAGGCACACAGTCCAATACCAGTACAATTTAATTTCGGAGGTGGAAGGGATTCTTAACAGCAGTAGTTTAAGATTTCTATAAATGAGGAAATCCAGTGACAGTCTGGTTAGAAGCAGGAGTTGGGGGACGTGTCTTGAGACTCAGCAGGCATAGGTTGGGAGGGCTTTGGTCAAAGACTCTGAAGCCATCTCTTTGTGCATTCACTGAGTCTTAGAAATTATCTAAATTTATTTGGTGGTTTCTCATATTAATAATATAAATGGTTAAATACTCTCTGATTAAGTAGAAAATAAGATTAGATGTTCCACAAATAGAATCTGGAGCAGTTTATGTATTATTTTCCCCCACTTGTAATTCTGTTTTTTTTTTTTTTATTTCAAAGTATTAAGGGGCTACAAATGTTTTTGTTACAAGGATAGCTTTTATGATGTTTGAGTGAGGGCTCTTCATGTGCCCATCAAGAGAGATTAATTCTTAATGAATTCCAGCAGCATTACATTCACCTTACAAATACGTGTTCAGCCTATTCTGTACTTGGAGGGCCATGGTCACTGAAAATAAAGGTTGCACTTGCAAAATAAGATCTAAGCAGAAAAGAAGTTTTAAAAACATAATCTGCACTGCTGAAGAAGTTTGAAGAGATTTTTTAGAATTTTCACGCTATCATGAAGAAACATTACCTTTTCCTAGGTAATCACAAGGAACTTGGGTCCTTAAAAATACAATATTTCATATCATGATATGTATTGATAAATTAAGCAAACTGTCTAATGTGAAGCAAAAGTTTCGACCATTTATCTGTTGCTATGAACACTGAGTTGTTAATAAGAACTGATAGAATATCTTAAGTAAATTTGCATAGGAAATAAGGCTCTGCCTCCAACTCTGCATGGGACAGCAGCATACTTTCATCAGTTTATTTGAGAAGTGCAGCTATCATAGGCATCTCAAATGGATTTGCATTTGAATAAAATCTGTCATTAAGAATGAGACCAGAGACAAATCTAAGACCGATCAATGAGAGAACTAAATCAGTTCTTGATGATGCTGTTTTAATACATCCAGTATAAATATATTTGAAATGTTCATTCTCGTATCTTTCATAGCTTAATTTGAATTTTAGGTTTACAAAGATTGCCGAGAGTTAATCCAATGCGTCCCCCATCTGGATTTCATTTCAATTTTAGAAAGCAGAATGGTGTAGTGACAAGAACATCATACAAGGAGCTAGGATTCATGAGTTCCGGTAATCTTACTATGTTAACAATTTAGTCCATTACTTTTAGTAAGTCACTGGGCTTCTAGGCTTGAAACACATCACCTATAAAATATGGACCAGCTCTACATTTCTGTGATTCTACCTAAAATATCTTATTATCTTATACATAATCCTGTATACTATGGATACAAGTTAACACATAAGTTTTAAAGATTTAGTTTCTTACATTATATAGAGTTTTCTCGGTGCACAATCACATCCTATGCTATATATTCACTTAGACCTTTAAGTTAAGGCTATATTTTCAAAAAATAAACTTAGAGAGCAGAGACCACTTAACTGTCTTGTAGAGTTTGTGGTCTGTGCATGTGGTAACTATGTGGCTGGTATTCATAAAGCAGGTATGTTGCAGTTTAATAAATTTAGTCTAATTCCATCATCAGAAAGGATGGGGCAGTAGAACTCATTTAAGGAGCCTCAATATACCAGTATGTTCAATCATTTGATGAGAAATAATTAAAGGAGAATATTGACAAAGACCACCCTAATTATATCCTTCTAAAATCAATGCCGCAATCAACTGAACTTTTTTTCCTTAGGGTTCTTTAAGCTAATTATTCAATCTTCTGGCTTTAAGCATTCTAGATGTTACCTATTACTTCAAAATTATTCTCATTTCCTTAAACCCAGGCCTCTCCTCTTCGTTCGCCTCCTTTCTCCCTACAATTGGACTCATTAAACATGAAGTGGGAGCAGAAGGAATGGACTCAGAAAGAGCTATTTCTAAGTATATTTGGAAAGTGAATACATATTTTGTCATGTCATATAACTAATTTATTTAAAAAACATCCATGTTGAAGACATTTAAATATAGAATTATTTGGCCATGCAGACATCAGATACAAGAATGCCGAATTCTGTCACATTCCTAGTTACAAAAAAAAAGATTCAGTCCTGATAAATTTAACAACATGGATGAATCTCACCAGACATCATGCTGAGCAAAAGAAGTCATTTACAAAAGAAAACATACTTTATTACTCCTTATATATGAAATTTTAGAACAGACTAAACTAATTATGGTGATAGAAGCCACACTAGTAGCTGTCTGGGGTACGGAGTGGAGGGAGATTGATAGTAAGGGGCACAAGGAAGCTCTGGGGCTGACGGAAAACTTTTATACCATGGTTGTGGTAACAACAGTTACATCATACACACACACACACACACACACACACACACACACACACACACAAACACACTATATATATAGTGTAACTATTGAAATATATATATATATATATTTTGCCAAAAGTCAACTATATTTAAAATGTATGAATCTTATCTATAGAAATATACTTTAATAAAGGTATAATTTGGTGTAAAAAAAGATTCAGGCTAAATACAATCACACTGTTGATTTATATTAATCTCTAGTCCATTTTGACACTTAGATAGTTGGTCATCTCTGATCTAGATGTTTCATAGTTGCATAATTTTTTCTTACATATAGTATTTTACAGCTTTTAAATAAACATAATAATATACTCTAAACATACATAGTACACTTTACTGTCATTGTATAAAATAATATTTTATGAGAATAGTTACTCATTAGGGTTATTTATTATCTAAAGACACATAACACAAATATCTTTAAATAATCTAGACAACTGCTTAAATAATTAGATAATTTAAGAATCATAGGTTTGAAATGGAGTGAGAAGGGAGTGAGGTGATAATTGTGATTTCTTCTACCTGTGGTAATATACAGATACCTACCTATTTCATACATACAAAACAGAATTTCATAAAAGCCTCATGTATCTTCTATTACTACAAATCAAATTATATCTTAAATGAAGTAATATTTGATCAATAAAACAATTCCGTGTCAAATTTTAATAGGTAAAGACTACTACATGATTTGCTTTTTAATTAAATATGATTGTAACATTTGGAAGTTGTTCAAAATGTGTCATAGTACAAATTTCCTCAATATAGCCAACTTAATTCACAACAGTGCCATGAGGATCTGAATTACTATTACCTTGTATGAGCTAATCCAGGAATCAGCAAACTCTTTATCTATGGGCCAAATTGAGTCCACTGCCTGCTTTTGTAAATAAAGTTTTATTGAAATACAGCCAAACACATTCATTTACGGATTGTCTTGGGCTGCTTTTACCCTACAATGGTGGGGTTGTGTAGTTTGCAACAAAGACTATATGGGCAGAAAAGCCTAACGTATTTACTATCTGTCCTTTACAGAAAGTTTGCCAGTTCTGACCTATCCTAAGAGTCTCATCATAAAGGAATTTAGGGAAGTCAAGGCACTGCTACCAATAAAACAAATATAGTGCTTTTATAAATGGAAAACTAAACAAATTAATAAAAAAACTATTAAAACACTTCATGTACTTATTAACCCCACCAGAAAGTTAATACTGAAATCAAAATGAATGCTTTCCTTCCAATAGTCTTATTATAAAAGTTTCTTCATAAAACATTATGTTAGGATATAATCAAACTTGTTTTACAATAGCAACTGTAAGATTATTTGACTTTTAATCAGATGGTTAACATTTTTCTAATTATAACATTTATAGAAAAATTAAACAATTATTGGTAGATCACATTTGATCAGAGTAGTCAAGCAAAAATTACTATACATATCAAAAACTCAGACATAAAGCAACTAGATACATACTAGTGAATGAAATTTCCTTTCAAATGCAGTGAACTATATTCTTAAACAGAGTACCTTTTTTCCCAACTAAATCTGCTTTTCTCCAAATTGTATAACTTTGTAATTACTTTGTGTTTGTCCCTATAGTCTCTGAGAAAACAAATTTTGATTACTTTTTTTTTTTTTTTTTTACCTTGAGATCACGGTACACAATCTTTCCGGAATGTAGATAGTCCAAGGCAGAGACAATTTCTGCACCATAGAAACGTGTACGGTCCTCAGAGAACACCCGCTCTCTCGACAAATGGAAAAACAGCTGCAGGGTAAACAGCAGGGACAGGATTGTAATAATTACTGATTTAGTGGGGGAAATTAACACAAACATAAAACACCTCTCATCACCATATTGTGATGATAGATAGTGTACTCTCGGTGGACACTGCACACTCTTAGACAGCAGCTGGCTTCTCTTTTCCAGGTTTCCAAGGGGAAACTGTGAGCTGTTAAATCAGCGTTTTAATCAATATACCAATCTTGTTTAAGGCATTCTGCTTGCTACCCATTTAACCTTCAGTTACCAGAGGAAAAAAGTACGCACCATCAGATTGCAATTTCCCCCTCACTATACTGCTGCTTCACTCTTCCAAGGATTAAGTATTGAGACATTACTAAAATAAACGAACACAAGCATAGATGTAACATTTTTACTAAATTATTTGATTTACCTTTGATTTCAAAGAAAGGATTGATTTGCTTAAACTGGTTTATTTAAACGTGTTACGTTCTATAACACAATTTTTGATCCATCATGATATCATCAGAAATATTTTCAAAGTTCAAATCAACATTTTCTACAGTGAGAAAATTTAAGGCTTTAAAATTTTAATTTATTTTAGTAATGCCCAAAATGGACTGAGAAGCTTCCATTATTCCTTTTATAGTTCTCAATGTATATTCTTTCTGTTTTCAGTAATAATAAACTACGATGTCAACCTTTTCTCATATAACCACTTAAAATGATAAGCCTATCCATTTCCTAGTTAACCACTTAAAAGATACACCATTCAATAGTCAACAAATATTTAGTAGAATTTACTGCTACCAAGCATCCAGTTCTCTAACAGGCCAGCTCTTCATTTTAAAAAACTACAAATCTTATCTCTCTTAAACAACATACACGAAGAAGGAGGTTTCAGGCACTATGTATTGACTATTGACCTTTGTTGTTGAAATCCACAAAGAACAATGAGAGATTATTTACAGTGCTGAGCACATTGCCAGGTATCTTGGTAGATACTCAGTCTATGTCTGTGATGAAAGAAAGGAACCAAGCAGTCAATGTGCCCTTGACTGCAAGCTCAGAAATCACTCCTTCACATCTTCACATGGATCACTGACTCTTAATGCTTCTACAAAATCGGTGAGAATTATGGTTAACCAAGATTTGTTCTGCACACAACAAATCATAATCTCCAGTAACATAAAATGGGTTCCCTACAGATTCCTTCTTCCCCTTTCCCATCCCCACTTAACAGTCTATTATTGTTTTAAGATAAATGTTATGCATGACCCATTGGCATGAGGGTGAGGGGGAAAGTAGGGGGAGAGAGCGAGCAAGAGCAAGAAGAGAAATATCATCTATTGCCAAACACAAAGACTGGCACAACACTAATAATATCAAAACTAAAATATTTGGCAGATAGTCTCTAAACTTTAATGTTCCCTAGCATATTGTCACATTTTATCAAATCTAAGATGCTACTAATTGGGACTACATCATCATTTTATGTAATACCAAGAAAGAAAAGAAACTTGTTAATTATTAATAGAACTATGACACACCACCTACTATAAAAGGCATTCTGATTACAGAAATATTAAATGCATCTTAAAATGATCAAATACAGTATGTTGAAATCTAATCAATTTATATAATTACTCAGAGATATTTTTGAAAATTCATTCATTTTATATAGGCAGATACATATTAAGTACTACCAATGCATCACCATCCTAACAAGGACAGGGAGTAGAAAGAAGGGATCATCAGTAAAACCATTCTGAAAAATTTCCAGGTCAAAATAATTTCTGCCATGCAAAATATCACCAACTATGAGGAAGCAATCCTGTGATCGCTATGTGGGGTTATGGTAGTCTTCTATGCAATGAAAATAGTGATTAGGTTTCTAAGTTTTCTTAAAAGAATGTCAAGCCTCCCACTCACTCATCTACTTTACAAGAGATATGGATCCTCCCTAAATCAATATAATATATGCAGGATTCTAGATCTTTATTTAGACCATATATATCTTCAACTTGTCTGCCAGCCAATTTCTATAAAAATATGAGCTAAAAATTATATTTAAGGGGAAGAATTCTATTTATTTCCCAATCTGCTGCTATCTGATGTGTACCCTTACTACTTTATGGAACTTATTCTCGTTAAGTTAACCGACAACCTCTTAATTGACAAATCCAGTAATCTATTTAAAGTCTGTGCCCCTTCTTCCTGTTCTGGAGCTTAGGACATCACCTACCGCCCTCTCTTGAAACATGTTCCGTGGCTTTGGTATACAACTCTCTCCTAATTTTCTTCCTCACTCTCTAGATAGTCCTTCTCAGTTCCCAGTTGGCTCTGAACCAACTTTCTAATTCAGTATTCATTTAGTGAGCATCAATTATTTTAAAGTCACTGTGTTGGGAACTGGGAAAAGAAAAAGAGGGCATACAATGAAGATTAAGACATAATCTCTTATGTGTACAGCACTGATTGTAGTGATGTTCTCATGAGTGCACGCTTATCTCCAAACTCATCAAGTTGTACCTATTAAAAATATACAGCATTTTGTATATCAATCATACCTCAATAAAGTAGTTTTTAAAAAAGGAATCTCTGCCACTAAGCAGAGATTCTAACCCAATGAAGGGGACGCATATATTGACCAAAAAAAAAAAAAAGAGGGCCATGATAAACTTTATAATTAAGACATTAAAAGTATTTTTGAAGGTAAAGAGTGATTAATATGCACTGGGATGATCTGGGGAGACTTCATAGATAAGGTAATATTTCACTTAAGTTTTAAAGAATGGGATTTTTCACAAATGAAAAATGTAAGGGAAAACTACAAAAAGTTGGTACTCAAGTTATATCCATCTCTGTATTTCTACCACAGCCTAGCATAGTATCTGCATACTGTAGGTAATTAATTAGCATCTGTAGAAAGCATTAGTAGTGAAGAAAAAGGACAGCTGAAAAATAATAAGCATTCAGAGCAAGGACAGAATTTAAGCAAATTATTTACAAAAAGCTGCAGACATAAAGAGAAGAAATAGTACCAACCCATAAGGACATCACTCTCTGGTTATAGCAGCCAGATATATACACTAATCTACTAAAAATATGGTAATTATTATGAAGCAGAGAAGACATTTAAGGAATAAGTATGTTTGCTAATATCAGAAGTTATATTTGAACTGGATGAGAGCTTCTGAGGGACATCAGCTAGAGTGGTAGTAACAGACATTTCAAGAGAATCAATATTCTAGAGGGAACTAGCTTGTACCACTTGGGCCAAGGGACAGATCAACAGTGTTGAGGTTTCCCTACGGCTGGCTGAGTAGATGCTGCTATAAAGGAAAAGAAAAGGGATGGGGACAGAGGAACAATGAGTTTTACTTTGACATGCTGCTATCTAAACAAGCATTTGATAACAGAGCTTTGCAACTGTGGGTCCCAAAGTTATAGAGGTAGATACAGGAGTCATTTACAGAGAGGATATTGTTAAGACCAAGAAAGCAAAACATAGCCCAAGAATTCAGTAAAAACTGCAAAGGGAGTTAAAGGAAGAATCTTAGGGTACTACTATACACAGGACAAGAAAAAGAAGTAGAATAGGATATTGAGATGAAGTACTAAGAGAAGTACAAAAGGAAGCAAGAATACAGTATCTGAAGAGGTGAAAAGAAAATTTCAGGAAGAAAGTTCATTTACTGGACTTTGGAATTAGGTCATTTGTTACCTTTCAGAGACAAGATGTCATATTTAGATGGGCTGAGAAGAGAATGTGAAGTAAAAGGTAGACACGTATGCTACTGCTTCAGAAGAAATGAAAGAGATGAGCCAGAGCCAAGATAACACCGAACCAGAAGATTTCTGGTGCAACATAATAAATAATGCTTTCAGGAAAACTTTTGCTCAAAGAAACTGAGAGATATTATATAGCTATAATTCATATGGAAGAGAAACACAAATTAAAAGACCAATGAAATCAGGCAGCTGGAAACATGTTATTTTAGGTTATAAGAATTTAATATAGGATAACTTGATGATGAGAATATATAATAAAAAGTATATGGAAAAAGTGACTACTTAATAAATGGCACCACAATTTGCTTTTTTTTTTTTTGAGACAGAGTCTCACTCTCTTGATCTCTCGCCTGGGCTACAGTGCCGTGGAATCAGCCTAGCTCACAGCAACCTCAAACTCCTGGGCTCAAGCAATCCTCCTGCCTCAGCCTCCCAGGTAGCTGGGACTACAGGCACGTGCCACCATGCCCAGCTAATTTTTTCTATTTTTAGTTGTTTGGCCAATTTCTTTCTATTTTTAGTAGAGACAGGGTCTCGCTCTTGCTCAGGCTGGTATCGAACTCCTGAGCTCAAACGATCTGCCCGCCTCGGCCTCCCAGAGTGCTAGGATTACAGGCGTGAGCCACCGCGCCCGGCCTACAATTTGCTGTTCATCTCACATAACAAAATAAATTTTAGATGTATTAAATATAAAAGATAAAAATAAAAAGCCAGAAAATATCTTATCTCAGGATGAAGGATTTTCTAAGCATAAAAGAAATGGAACACATAATAAAAGGGAAATATAGTAGAATTCGCCACATAAAACAGAAAAATTAGAGGTAAAATGGAATATTCATAACAAATATGAAAGTTCATATACTTAATAAAGAAATCATAAAAATCAAAAGACTACAACGCAAAGAAAAAAATGGGTAAAAGACACAGACAATATAAGAGAAATACAAGTTACTAAAATATATGAAAACATGCCACCTTATAATAATCAATGCAATAGAGATAAAAACTTAAAAAGGGATAATTTTAATATTTTGTTAGTGGAAAGTGTGGTGAGATAAGCATCTTTATACATTGGTGGCTGGTAGGTAAACAGATAGAAACTCCTTGCAAAACAATTTGGCAGTAATATCAAGATATTTCTAAAGTTCAGCAGTTCCTCTTCTAGAAGTTTCATTAAAAAAAAAAAGAAATATGGAAGCCATCTTCTACACAATGATATTGTTTGCAGA